AATTTTATAGGATGTCTGTGGTGATGGTATCTTGAAACCTGCCACAAAAGACAACCCGTTACCAGAAAGCCAAATGATTAAAGGTGCTATTTTCCCCCCATGGTGGGACAGGCAATCCCTGCAGGGTGGAGAGTGTTCTTGCAGGTCTGGTGGTCCTTAACAAAAAGCGCGGTTCCAGCCAGCAAAGGAAATAAGAAATATATTGTACAATAAAACCCCAGAAAAGCAAATAATCTTTAAGGATTTAAGCCACTTGGTGTCAGGATTTGGTGGAGCACGGTGAGAGCCTCGATCCTGGCACCTGCTGTAGCCGGTTCTTTATTCATTCCCCGATTTTAGGGTGGCATCCTGGGTTTATGGCGTTCTGTTTCTCTGCTCCTTGCAAACGCTGGCTGCCTTCTCTCCGCGTGCATCATCCCGGTTCACGCCGACGATCGCCTTCACTGGGAGCCCTCCAGCAGCTCCCAGGCTCCTGGGCCGTCGGTTTGGGTGCACGTCAGTGGTTTGGAAACGTGGGGTCTTTCCTAAAAATCCTCTGTTTGGCTCCGTGAGGCCACGCGAGCACCGTCTGCTGCTGCTCCTTAGGGTCGAAAGCGTTGAGTGAGACTTGTTGCTTTTAGCCAGTGAGAATGGATAACCCGCTTCTTTAAATGCTTAATACAGCGGTAGGGTCATGCAGAAACATTTTTATTGAACTGTAAAAATCTGATTTTGCATTTTAGCTTCCTGTAAAGCCCTCCTGCCGTATTTAAAAAAGGTGTAAACAAACCCAATATTTTACGGTTGGACTTTTCTATACCTTTTTTCCAGCAGCTGTAGCGGGTGGGGGGGTCCCAGAGCAAGGTCGCTGTTTTGTTACCCTGACTTTTGCCTCTCGGAGTGCGGGCTCTGTATTTATTGTCCTTGGTTCTGTAAATATGGAGGGGAGTAGGGGGTGTCTGAGGTCCTGAACTCACAGCCTCACCTGTTACACGTAGACAAATACATACAGTACTTAAAAGGTATCTCTAGCTTTGCTTTTTATATGTAAAAAATATTTAAAAAAAAAATTTTAAACCCCAAACCGTTCAAAACCCCTCGGTTTCTGTCACATTCCGTCTCACCCATCTACTCCGATGCTGGTGTCATTGCATCCGCTGTCGTACCTTCTGAGGAGGAGCAGGAGATGGTCTGAGTCCTCCTCTTCCTCGCCCCTCCCTGCCCTCGCCCTTGGGAGACTCGATTTTTGTAATCGGAGTTACGGGGTGCTTAGCTTTACTTTGCAATTCCTTTGGAAATATTTTATATATTTTTTTTTTTTTTTTTTTTTTTTTTAAAGGGTGGGCAGTAAGCCAGGTAGCTTTCAGAAGTATTTCCTAGTAGTGCCACTTCGAAGCTCTTGGAGCTGAGGATGCAAAAAATAAATCCAAAAAAAAAGGAGAGAGAAAAACCAGAAAATCCATGTAAAAGCTAACTTTTACAATGTTACCATTATAATCTAGCACATGGTTCTATATTACTAACATACACTATATATACCAAATAAAATCCTTCTAACACCTGATGTATATTTTAAGTGCTTTGTTTTGATGGAGGTGTGCAGATTTGGAAATGCAAGAATTAGTCTTTAAGCTTCTGTGCTCCGGCAGTCACTTCGTGAGGTTTGGGTTTGAAAGAGGAATTTGGGCTTTTTTATTTTAATGCTGAAACTTTATAAAACTTCATCAGTTACTCGACGTGACCAGACCTCTCGGGCTCCTTTCTGGGCACGTCTTGGACCTACTGCCTATGCAAACTTCTGCTCTTCGAGATTTAAACAAAACCCCAGTAATTCTGCCTGTTCTATCCAACACTAGCTCTCGAGTAACCTCTAGCACCTCGTCTTTGTATTTCCCTTCAGGGCTTTATATACTTCACTGAGGTTCCCTTTTTAATTTTTTTCTAAATATATGTATGTGTGTGTGTATATATATATATATACAGATTTAGTTTCAAAAAATAACTCCCTTATAGGTGAAAAATTGATACACTTGGTCTCAATAAAAGTCTCGCAACTATTTTTTTTAAGCGTTCATACGTACTTGTAAATGTCCCTCCCTGAATTTCTTTATTATCCTCATTTTTTTTTAAAATATAAAAGCGTGCCAGGAGTACAAAGAGCATTTCAAGCCGTGCTTTGCCACCATCTCATGGATGAAAACAGCATCGTCCTCCCCTTGCCCTCCAGAAGTTCCCCGAGGAATACACGGAATCACGCACGCGGTGGGCCTTGGTCTGGTTATTGCCTTCAGAGAGTATTTTAAATAACGAAGACAAATGAGGTTCTGTCAATTTGTTATTTCCAAAAATTTTATTTAAAAAGATTAGAAATTACTCAGTTTTGTATATTTTAAGGTCACCCTAAAGCCTCGCAGCTACAGAGTGATTCTGTGGGGAGGTGAGCGGGGACGTGGCTAATGAAGGTTTGCAAAGTGACTGTCCTTTTCCTTTATTTTTAATCAAAAATCAGTGGTTTGGACTACAAAAGGAAACCCTGCTCTAGCATTAGGCCCCGTTTGATTTCTTCTCTTGACTCATGCCTTTAAATACTCCGCTTTTCCAAAGCGAAAGCCGCGTTGCTTTGGGGTTTGGTGTGTGTGTGTGTGTGTTGGGATCGATGACCTGGATGGGGGCTCGGTTTGCGTCCCCGAGGGGGTCCCGATTCCCGCTGGGGCTGAGCCCCCCCGGGGAACCCCCCCCACCTCGACGCTTCCCGTTTTGCACATCGCCCTTTCGGAAAGAAACTCCATGAAAATAATGCAAAAACTGGAATTTTTTGCAATATTATGAAAGATAATCTTATTTTAGCTCATTCTGTGACATGTGCAACTCCTAAGAAAGCCATACTTAATGGTTCTTTTTATTTTTAGATTCTATATTGTGTTTTGAATTTCTGCCTTTTTTTTTTTTTTTTAGTTCCGCATAGTAAGAGTGCTGTGTGTATGCTTTCATATATATTTATTTTTCAACGTGCTTTAAACCTGTCTACAAAAATAAAGCTAAACAAACAAAAAAAAAGGACAGTGTTTGAAGATTGTTGATTATTTTTTTTTTTGCTGGGAATATTCTATATTATACTGACTTTATATTAATTATTATAAACCTGTGTTTGTATTGAAGATGTGTTTAATATTTTGGGGAGGTTGAGGAGATTTTAGTAACCAGAAGTCAGTGGGAGAACATGGCTGTGTTGTACTGATTTTCTGTAAATGTAGTTCAGGTAAATATGACCTTATTTTCTAGTTGATCTCCCGGTTTCTCGTCTGCCTGGGCATGCCGGAGGCGTGCCTCTCGATTCTAATTACTTTGTGATGGGATTTAGCTTAGGCATACTTGCAAAAATCAATCAGTTTCAATAAATTGGGAAATTGCTGCTACAAGTTTGTCTTGGGTTTGATTTTTTGGGTTTTTTTTTTTTTTATTTTTTTTTCTCCTGGCTGCGTGCAGACGGATGGGGTGACCTCACGGGTCCCTCCGGGGGCCGCGGGCACCACCCAGCTGCAGCCCTGTGATGCTGCAGGGCCCTGCACCCCGTGCTCCTGGGT